CACGAATTTTTAAACTCTCAATAAAGTTTTCTAGCTGCACACTAACTGCAATCAAAGTCTTCACGTACACTTCCCGTTCACGTCCTCGTCATGGCTAGCCATCTAAGTACCACAGATCCGCATCTTCGTTTAAAGAATAGGGAAGCTACTCAATCTTTTGTTCGTCTGGTGTGTCATGCACTGAGAAATATTTGTCGCAGCTCCGAATCCAGACCCTTGGATTCCTTTCGTCAAACAGAGGAATTTCCACATTAGGTAATGTCATCTTTGAACTCACCATTACTTGACTTCGCACCTAATGCTCTAATTCTTTATTTTCGTGCATGGTCAGAGAGGGAAGTGTTCCCTGTTTCGTCGTAACAATTGGCAATGAGTGTGCGGTCTGATTACTTGACTGGTTGGGTCTCACGCTGCCACATAGCATTTCGACAATTAGGTCAAATTGTTCTTTATTTTGGTGGTGCACTTCATAAACTTCAATTGTGAATTTTGTGAGTCGTTGATCGACCTCCTTCATGGATACCTCAGCCTGTTGCACCTTCGGTTGCTCCATCCTGATTGATTTTCCCTTGGACCTAGTTCTTGATGCTACGGAAACATAAATCTCGCCTGATTCCAAAGACTCTGATACCAACTTGGCAGGAATCTTACTCATGGTTTGTGACTTAATGGCTGAAGAGAAGAGAGAGGAGAGAGAGAGGGGGGGGGGAGAGAGAGAGAGAGAGAGAGAGAGAGAGAGAGAGAGAGAGAGAGAGAGAGAGAAGAGTTGAAAGGAAAAGGGAAATTGAAGTGGGATTTAAATTTGAATATTTTTTTGTATATCTTCTCTTGGAGAGAAATGTTTATACAGCCCGGGGAGGGAGAGAAGGTGCCCCCTTCTGTTAGACGCGTCCTCTGTTACAACAGAAGAAAAACAGAATAGAAACAAGAACCGCATTCTGTTGTTGAAATACCGACTTCCTCTTTCCCCTACTATTATTTCCCATTTCGCTCTTCTTCCTTTGGTATACTTTCACACTGGGGGCTGCAGAGGTCAAAACACTTTTCAACTTGTTTAAACTATTGGGAGGATATTTTTGGCAATCTTGTAGCAATCCTGAGACGAATGTTTCTTGAAAAATTGTGTATACTTTTGAGAAACTTATGGGTATAACCTATTTCACATTACTTCAGGAACTGCCCTATTGATCTGAAGGAAGCAATTGCGAGTGTAATATTTGCATCCCTGAGATGTGCAGATGTACCAGAACTGACGGACGTCCGTAAGCATTTTACAGCAAAATATGGAAAAGAATTCGTTAATGCAGCTGTTGAATTACGTCCAGATTGTGGTGTAAGTCGCTTGGTAAGTCAATGTTACTCGGTGTCTTCAAGCAGATTGATATAGAAATCCACAATACAGAAATCCATTATTTTACTTTCTATTAGATACATTGTATCTTCTTTTTCAGTTGGTTGAGAAATTATCTGCCAACGCACCTGATGGTCCAACCAAAATCAAAATTTTGAGCACAATTGCTGAGGAAAACAACATCACATGGGAACCTAAATCTTTCGGAGAGAAAGATTTGCAGCCTCCTGCAGATTTGTTGGTAAAATGAAATTTAATTCGCTTTTGGATAATGAAGAATATCTAAATTGTTGATTCTGGTAGTTACTTTTTTTCTTTGGAGTCTTAATGATTTTTTAATCCTTCTCTCCTTATGTTCTTTGAGCAGAATGGACCAAATACCCTTGATAAGGCAAGTAAAATGCAAGTGGATCCTCCTAAAGTCCAAGAAGGACCTAAAATTGTCCAATCTCCTACTAATTTTCACATTTTTCATCAATCCAATCAAAAGGAGGATGTGATTGGGAATGTTCATCCGCAGGATAGGATATTTTCATCACATTCTCAGAATGTTGTTTCATCCAATATTGATGCCAATAAAGCTGGCAGTTATCATCCAAATACGACACCTGGTATTTTGATTTACTCAGATTTACTGTTATTAATACTGTTTTCCAATGTTTACTTAAATTTGTTTTATATGGTTAATTTCCTGCTAATTGTATATATGATCTGTTCTACATGAACTGCAGTTGAAGGAA